TATATATATATATTATTTTTATGTGGCAGATTTCTACGAGCTAAACCATGAGTCTTTATTGGGATATATCTGACGAAGCATAACTCTTTGATTTTTCTGGACTTCTTGTATTCAAAAGGAAACTGATGGAATCGACGAGAAAGAACGTTTCTTCGGGGAGTCAACTGAGAGAACAGGATGGAAAAGGCAAATGTCAGAATTGTGATACCGGTGATATTCAAGAAAAAATGAAGAAAGTGGACGTGAAAACGTCTTCACCTACCAGTCTATTGGCCAAAAACACTTTGATATTACCTACTGGAGTCATTAGACCCGAGCGAGTGCAAGCAAAAACTGAAACAATGCCCTCGTCTGGATCTGCTACCGGTAAGAACGTCCGATCTTTTTTATAAATATTGATTCTTCCAGTCAATTAGAATGGGAGAAATAGTAGGTCGTATTCTTTTCTCATTTTATAGAAAATTCTTTATAGAAGTGTATGAAAAAACGTAAAAGAGAACATAAAATGTTTTTCATTGTAACACTTTCTTATGTTTTCGCAAAGAATAAAATTCTTAAAATTTTATATCTCGTGCATTTTGATGCGAAAAAATCTATAAACGAAGGAGAGAGAACATCTTGTTTTTATCCATTTTTTTTATTTGTTTCACGATTTATATGCGGCCGTCCATAAGAACATATGAGTCTTATTGTTTTATTCAAACAATACGTGTATTCTATTATTGAATCGGAATTGGATCAAGTCTTCCGTGTTATTGACTTCCCTGCCGTTGATCTTGGTACACGGAAAAGCGCGCTCCGAGACTGGAAAGAGATCCTGCGTGTTGAGCTGAGCGTCGTCCATCGCTACTATATTGATCTACCTGTCTCAGGGTTATATTCGGCCGCGTGTTTCAGCGCAGTACCCTCCGGTCCTTCATCACGAGATCACCGAGATCTCGTTTCTCGTCGCTCGATTCGCATTCGTGGATTTTCATCTCCCGTTTTCAGAATCATCGCAGTTAATCGTCGCGCGTTGCTTCTCTCGCTAATGTAGATGACGTTAAGACACCCCTTTTTGGGTATACCGTATTAAGTGAGAAACCGTTAGACGCGCGCATCATCTCGTAACGATGCATAATAATTGGTCCTTCTCGTATCTTTATTATTAGTAGGTTGGATCGATTGTGACCTAAAACACACAAGCGGTCGAAACCATTTTCTGCTATAACTGCATTTAGTCGAAAGTCGAAACTATTTAATTCCAGTAGCATTATTGAAATAGCATAGGACGTTCACTTCAAGTTTATTTTTCCATTAAAAGTTTCATCAAATCAGATTTTATAACAATCGAGTATATATATTTCTTTGAAGTATTTAAAACATCTCTTTAATTATTTGATTTTTTAGGATGTACGGATGTGCTTGATATTAATTATAATTTGAAATGGAAAAGTTATACATTTTATTTAAAATTTACTAAAAAAAGAAATAAAATTTTATAATGTACAATAAATTTCTTTAACATTATGTCATACACACAAACATACACACACATACACACATATATACATTTTTACAAATGAAAAACTCATACTATAAATTTATCAAAGAATATATTGTGTTAAAAAAAAAAAGAAAGATAAAAATATGGAATATATTTAGAAAAATAGGGAAAAGGCATATAATATAATAATAAAAATTAAAAAACAAAGTTTTAAGAGCACAGAGCATTATATTATCTTGAATTGACAATTAAAGAAAAAAAAGAGGTATCGGATATCAGACAGGTAGCGAATTATCGGAATATTATTGATATTGGATTAAAAATTTGCGATCGATGATGTGGCGAACGATATTTGCGAACTCGTGAGAGGTCTGTTTGAAGTTAAATTCACATGATATTTCCGCCTCATGAATTAACTAAACGTTCGTAATTACATGTACTTTAATTAGTTAATTGGTTTTAATTGTTATATAGTAGCCCCAATCGAGATATCAATAGTTTTCGAATTATAAACGATTGAAAAGGAAGGGCTTTTCGCAAACTATACTATACTTTTAATAGAGTTAAAAAGTTAAAACTACACAGTTAATTTTATAGATGAAGTTTACTTTCATAGAATTTTAATATCATTACAAAGGTATATATATGATGGAAAAAATTGGAAACTGCAAAAAATGATGATTTCTCTCGACATTTTCGTTAAGGAAAAATCAATTTCAAAAGAATATCCTCTAATCAATTTTTTTGAATTGTTTTTTCTTAACAAATATATATATAAATAAATATTATTTATTTGTTACCTATTTATTTATATATTTATCTATTTAAGATCTGAAATGGATCAAAATTATATGTATGTTAAATAACAAATATTAGTTCATTACGTATATACATATTATTGAATTATAATTTATTTATTTATTTATTTATTCATAGCTTTTATTGATGTGCACATATGACCTCGATATTTACCTGTGACATTATTACATCTCTAACGTTCGATACTAATAATTAATAATACATTTCTTTTATCGTTTTTTTCAAAGACAGAAACTCTGTTTATCTTTTCTGTTTTATTTCGTATGCGTCGAGAAAATTTAATTTTCGAGTGGTATCAAGACAACATTTAAAAAAATGAAATAATCTGAGAATTTTTTGTGGCTTTCACTTTCTTCTTTTTTTTTTACAAAGTAATTATGAAAATGATCGTGTCTCCGCGATTTTTATCGTTCCCATGAAAAAATGCCACGATGCTGCGGCGCTTCTTTGGTTTCCGCCGCGGATGGCGATGGCTCTCCGCAGAGTCTTGGTCTGCAAATTCAAGATGGTTAGTAATTAGTGTAATTACCAATTAATCTATTTTCGCGATCACGTTTATGTGTACGTGCAAGTGCTCATCGTGGGTAAATGGCGCCTCTATGCTCTCAAGCACTAATTTCTGTAGTAAATGGATAATTTGTGTTGCGTGTGTAAAAAAGAGGATAGAACAATTTTTGAAACATTAAAAATACGATAAAGCAAAGTGATAATGTTTATAAATTATCAGTTAAAAAAGTCTCAATTTAAACTAAAAATTTACAAGATAAAATTGAAGTAATAAAAGTGTAATTTTAATTTAATTTATGTGTTAATTTTAATTGTGATATTTAATTGTAAATTAGATATAAAAATTAAATGGATTACAGGTACAAAAAGTTTGAAATTTGGGATGTAAGAATATGCGTGATACTATTTCACTTATATGTGAATTCTTAAACAAGTTTATCGCGTATCTAATGTGTAATTTAGAGCAAATGTAATGAATGCTAAATTTTGACTTTTATTATTTTTTTTACAGGAAACCCACGAAATAAGACAGCCTTAGCACCGGGGCATAGTCTGATGGATTGGATCCGTTTGGGTAACTCGGGAGTTGATTTAACCGGAGTCGGTGGTGTACCACGGGTTGTAACATTATCTGAGCTTGCTAATCATAATAAGCAAACTGACGCTTGGATCGCGATACGTGGTTTGTTTATTTTTGTACTTGATGATATCTTATTAGGAGAAGAATCTCTTTGTCATCATCAACTATCTGTAAACATGTTTAATACGTTATACATATAAAAAAAAATTGTAACATTAAGTTATGTAATTACTTACATGATAATTAAAATCTATTTGACCATAATAAAATTTTTGCCACTTATTAACTTATGTACACATAAACCGACGATTTCAACGTTGCTCAAAATTCGAAGTAACTTAAACATTGAATTTTCGGGTTTTAACATTTGATTTCATTTGCAGGAGTGGTATTCAATGTTACGCGTTATATGGATTTCCATCCGGGAGGAGTCGATGAATTGATGAGAGGCGTTGGGAAGGACGCTACGAAGTTATTCGAAAACGTAAGATCCTTCAATCGCAATCGTATCATTTTATTGTATTGCTGTATCATCTCGCTAAGTGGTAATTATTTTTATGTACCCGTAGATCGTTAATTCCAGGTTCACGCTTGGGTGAATTATCAGAGCATTCTACAAAAATGTGTCGTTGGCAGATTAAGCCGCGGCGCTTCTTCCACGTCGAGCACTTCTTCCATAACGGAAAAGTCGGTTTCGAGTGTGAACAACCGTTCGTCCGTGACGTTAGATCTAAGCAAAAGTTCCACTGGTGAGTATCTATTGTAGCTGTTGCATCGTGTCATATTCTGGGTCATCTATATTTAGAGAAGCATTGCTGAATCGGTAGATCGTATTGGGTTATTACATTTATTGTCTTTGTATATGTTTGTGCGTACAATTGTTCAGAATTAATCGAGTGACTCTCTTTTTCTATAAAGATCGATAAACATTGAAATTATATTATTCTTCAAAGTACAATCAATTTTTACAAATTTTAATTGTTTGATTTATATATATTAAGTATTAAGATGCTTTTATTTAAATGCCTCTCTATTGGATTTATACTATCATATTTGTATATTCAATTAATGATTTATAACTACAATACATTGTAAATAAAGCGATAGATAGAATTAATGAAATATATCGAGTTTTATACAATTATTCATTAAATAAATTGTAAGACAATTATTATAGAAAAATATTTCATTGTTTTAGCACAAAAGACAGCTGAAGAAAACTCTATAGATTCATTTAATGTAAATATGGATTGGCGGCAAACATCTAACTCCATCACACTCTTTTATCAAACTATACGCGACTATCCTGGAGTATATTATCAATTGCAAAGATTAAGTGATTCAAAGCTCATTTTCAAGCTTATTTTCGAAAAGCTCATTATTATCGATGAGCTTGAATTAATTGCAGATGTGGAATGGCCGCCAATGTGTAAAAGGGATTTCGATATAATGCAGGTAAATTATATTTTAAATAGATTAATATAAAATATATAAAAACAAGTTACATATTTATCTTTAAAGCGATAAATTAAATAAATTTGTGACTTAAATGTTGCAGGTAGATTTTACGTTCACAAAAAAGATTAAAGATATTTGGAAATCTCAGGGAAACCATACGTTATTGCGAGAATCAATCACGAACAAACGCACGTACAGAGAGTACAAAGTACTCAGTAATACACCTCTTTGCAAACTAGTTAATTTTTTAGTCTTGCGTGCGACGGATTTTCTAGAACTAATTCCCATTGGTAGACACATAGAAGTTAAAATGAATGTAATGGGTAAGTATATAATAATATAGATATTTGCTCCTTCGACGTTTCATATTTATATATACTTATGAAAATATTATCAAAAATATATTGATATATTCTGCTATGTTTGTTATAGGAATGGAAGTATCAAGGTCATATACGCCTGTCCCACCGTGCCTTCATCCTGAAGATATGGCGCCAAATTACAAGCCAGATTGTATTTGCTTAATGATAAAGCGATATCCAAATGGTGCACTCAGTCCGTCCATCACTAAATTACAACCTGGCCAAATTCTTACAATGAGCAATGGTTTAGGTGCCTTTGTAACCGAATCTTTCGATCGGTATTCTGTCATTCATATGCTAGCAGGTGGAACGGGTTTAACTGTAATGTTAGGAATAATTCAGCGAGCATTAGCAAGACGCAGCGTGTAAGTATAAGTAGATAGATTCTTGATTATCTGAAACTTTGCTTGTGAATGTTAATTTCTCTCATTCTTAGATTTCTAAAATAATATAAAATAACAACAAAATATAGTAAAAAACATGATATTAATCATATCAACAACAGTATAGACAAATCCAATTAATAATAATATAATATTCGTTTCTGTATGTTTATCCCTAATTAATCTAACACTTTTCCAGAACATTAATCAATCTTCTAAACTTCAATAAGGACGAAGACAATATGTTTTATGTGGCACAACTTGACAAAGTGTCTGCAGAGAAGAAGTAAGTATGCACACAGAATGAAATTGTGGGTGTATGCTTCAAATTTTAATAGAAAGAAACTCTATATCTATTTGTAGACACATTGCCTTGTGTAACTATGCTGAATTATTTCTATAAAAATAAAAAAGAAATTTTTTATCAAACTTTATGCAATTTCCATTATATTTGGTATTTTTTTATTAGATTTAAAGTTACGCACATCCTTTCACAAGCAGGAGATAAGTGGGAAGGTAGATGCGGTACTGTATCAGATGAATTATTGAAGGAATTGGTTGGCGAGTGTTCATCGGAGGGATGTGTATTTACATGTGGACCAAAAGGATTTATGCTATCTGCAAAAAAGTATATGGAAATTTTTATTTATTAAACTTATAAAGAAAATTATTTTTTATTATTATTCTTATTAAATTTTCATAAGTAAATATCAATTTTTATTATAAAAAAGTATAATTTTTAAATATATATGACTATTCTTAATTACTGATGAATATCAATTCTTATTTTCAACGCTTTGCCAATTGATTTCCTTTATTAATATATCATATTGATTAATATATTATTATATCATCATGTGTTTTAGGTGTATTGAGAGACTTGGTTGGAAGCCTCATCAAACATATGAATTCGACGAATAATCGTCTGCATTGAAAGTATATGTGCCGAATATGTGTTTTCTTTCTTTCTAGAGGCCTAATAAAAAGAGATACTCCTGTACCTGTTGAATCACATTTAGTCAAATGTTAGTACAGATGTTCTGGTGATAGCCATGTGGACTGTAATGTGTCTATAACCAATGTGTATTTTTCTGAAATAATGAAGATTTCTAAGCACTTTTACTCCCGTCTCCGCCCATAACGGTACATTATTAGCTATGAAAGATTGTAATATACACACTGTCTGTAAAGTAGATTTACCTTTATGTAATTTTGCAATTGTATTGCAATCAGGAAATAGAGATAAATTGTTATGCAATTTAGGTAAAAGATCTCTTTTATATAATTTTATTATGATTTTTGAAATCATTGTTTTGTATCTGTTGCAGAGAAAATGTTTCGTTAAAAAGATTATCCTTATTAAAATGAATATTTGCCAAGAAATCAAATGATAATTTTTGACACTTTTAATTCAGTTTTCCTGAAATATATCTTATTTTTTGCATATAGAAACGCAATTCAAAAATATGTGTTGAATATTGATACATACTATGACATGGTTGTTATTTTGTTCTGGTATGACTGATGACGGTATGATGAGGTTTTTTCATGCTAATTAGCACATAACAGCAAAGGTACTAATTTTAATTTTATATTAACGGTTGAACTACAACCATACATGTTACATGCATATCTTTTCTATGAGGGTTTTTAAATGCCCATTATATAATGCACAATTAAATAAGCGGATAAAAATGCAATGAGAGTAATTTTATGCGGAATTTATTCTTCGATTATAATTATAGAATTTTGTATATTTCTCTTTTACATAAGATGAGTGATTTTATTAATACGTATTATTTATTGTTAATACGTATCGTTGGTGTTTTATTTATGTAAATATATATATATATATATATAATTAAGATTAAATAATTATATATTCTTTGAAAAAAGATGATATGTAAAAATGCTGTGCATTTATATATGTATGTATATATAAGTATATATGCTAATTAATTGAGATATTAATATTAATTGAGAATAAATGCATACTGAATGATCGCTGCAAAATCGCTCGTGTTTTCATAAAATATGAACACGCCATTATTTTTGTAAGCTATATCTTAAAAGAAAAAGTTTTTCTTTGTGATTAATTTTAATTAAATCTGCAAAATTATAACTCAATATTATGTAATTTGATAATTAAAAATGCAAATAAACTAGTACCAATTATTACTCATTAAATAATAATTTTACTTTTTTGAAATTTAATTTGCCCTTTGATATCATTTTTTTATTTCATTTGCAGATGTAATGCGCGCCTTCGTGTTTTGCTCTTGACATAATGCCTTTATCTCTGTACAGTCGAAAAACTTTGTGACACACGAGGACTAAAATTCTCTTATTTTCCTTTCTCGCCTTCTACATATTCTTCGTCTACATTGGAGAGAGCTACAAAAATCGAGGGAATATATTCGGCTCTTGCCTCTGCTAAATTTCTTAAGTTGAAAAACTGCAAGGAGTATCTCGAGAGTGCATCGCGTGGATATAGTGAAGATGTAAATTTTCACCTTCAATCTCCCCGAGATGCTCCGCCACCCCCAATAATGCACACCGGGATATTTATCTAGGCAACCCAGAAGAAGACGAAGAAGAAGCGAGAGAGCGTAATAACGCCCCCGCCATCCCCACCGTCACTCATCACCAACGAGCGGTTTACACAAAAGGGGCCCCGCCGACCGCTCGACCGATAAGAGAACTTTCCATAATGCAAAACTTTGTCGAGGCCGGCTTAATTTTCCGGCGCCGTATATACAGAAGTGCCTATTGATCGCGGCAAGTTCTTCCCCGCGAGATATGACGTAACTACATCACACAGGCGGACAGCAAGATGAATGTCTTTCGATGTCGGCGACGGCGAAGAAAATTATGTCACACAGGCGGCGCGGCGCCTGTTGGATCTAAATCGCTCGATCGTGCCACCCCCTTCCCGTGTATATCCTTTTTCCGCCTCTCCTCGAATAGTCACATAGCATGCGGCAAATTGCGCAAAAAGCTCGGGAGCATTTTAAGCAAGATCGCAGCCGTTTCAATACTTAATGACCTGAATACGTGACCGTTCGCTCGTTACGCTATTTCGTCACGGGTGAAATCGGCGATTTATGAGAATTTAATGATACATTTCGATTTATACGTGAAATCATTGAAACTTTTTTCTGACAAAGTGGGACACGTCGCATTACGAAAACGCTCTCTTCGTCGTGTAATGATACGCTAACTCTCCCGGGAGTCAGCTGACGAGAGAAAAAATGCCTCCTCTAAGAGCGTGTCCGCGATAAAGCCCCGTTCTTAGGAGCGTGCGGTGTATTTGAAAACCGATACCGCGAGGTCGCAGACCGATATTGAAAATTAAAATTCTATACACCTATACAGCGGGAAGGACTTTACTTCTTCTCTCGCGCCTGTCTACCATTAAAATAGTTCGCCGACACAATGCCGGCATGTACTGTGCGAAGCACGCGCTCCTGTGGCGAAGATAAAGTGCAAACAGCGATATTTAGTTCGTGATTTCCCCGAAAAATTTAAAGCATAGGTAACACAAATCTCCTTTAGACCCATATCCACCAGAATGTAATTAAATCAAATTAATTTTTTTTAAATTGATATATGTGTGTATTATAAGAAGTCTTTTCTAAATAATTTTCTAAAAACGAAGTAAAAGCAAGTCAACAACTATGTATCAACAAATATGTATATACTTTTTAATTAGAATTTATTTTTTCTAATTAGTCGATTATGCCAAAAAAAGTAATTACAGATTTTTAATTACAAAAAATATAATAGAATAGAATGTGATATTTGTAGAAATATATTGGTATCTACTTACATATTATAGATCGAAACACGAAATGCGTTATACACGATGATCAAATAACGCATCGCGTTGCAAGAAAAAGAATGGCATTACTCTGCAGAACTGATCGCGCGTCCGCTCTTTTGACACGATCGAGATAGAATTGCATACATGTAAGTAAGTACACATGGGGCGAAAAAAGTTGTTTTGTATTACGAGCGTGGTTACGTAAATACTTTGCCGATGAAAGAATGTTAGTCACATATAGCAAGATACAAGAAGTTTGGTAGCTGCTTGAGTGTGCAACAGTTTTATCAGTAGACTCGATAAAATAAGAAAACTACTAAAAAAAGGTATTGAGAAAAATTGACAAAGTAGATAAATGCATTATGCAATTAACGTGCTCTGTTTAACTCAGTTCTCTGCACAAAAAGAAAAAAAGAAAGGAATTTATGAAGAATTATACTACGCGAAATATATATATATATATACATATACATGACGAATAAAGTACCTGGTCTACACTTTCAGGTCTTTTTCTACAAGGATGATGTCATCTTCACCTTTCGTATACGATATCGGTATCGAAATTGCTATTTGCAGACAGATCTCCGTGAGAAGCATGAATTTATCGTATCGCAGAATATAAATCGGCAGCTGGATTGACACTGTGGAGTGAGAGCGCAAGAAAGTGCACTTGCGTTTCTCTGAGTTTTTACCAAGAAAAAGAGTCGAATGAAAAGTATCGTTTCGTAAAAGCTACTCGTGCTACTTTAATGGATTATAATTTGGTTCGTTAATATGGAAACTAAATTTTATAATGCACTGGAGATAGCGGAAGGAAGAATCGGGAACGATTACAATAAAAGTGAGCGTTAAATTTTATCATTATTCCGAAAAAATCCTGCTCGTGAATATAAAACTTGGACAAGGTTTATTTTCAAATTCCAATTTAGAAGAAAAATAGTTTTGCATAAATTGATAAAGTAATTTAGTCATTATTAAACAGATAGAAAGAGGGATGGCACGCGGGGTGAATGGAATTGCGGAATAGATGAATCCTATTTTAAATTAAAAAGTCTCCTAACTCTCTCTCTCTATCTCTCTCTCTCTTTTACACACACACACACAGACTTACACTCAACTTACAAGGACCGCTTGAACTAACGTCGATAATCCCTAATTCAATTTTCCTTCTTCGTCTATATCATAGGCAGAGTCATAGTTTATAGAAAGGGATAGCGAAATTGTTAAGTCGGGTTGTGAACTAATTCCTACTGTTGGTGTGCTATTCGGTTTAACTCCCATACCCGCTGGGGAATAGTTAGTGTTATACCTAATAATCGTACTTCCTTTGAGACGCGAGTTTTCAAACTTGCTCCAATTCCTCCTCCAAATCCAATTTTCCCGCCTTTACATAACTATATTCTCTTTATAATTTAATAGATGGGAAGATATACGTATGATGTAGATTTGTAGATTATGTGTGTGTGTGCATCATGTTTCAACTTTGAGATAAATGCTATCGATATTTAAATAATTGTTTAATCAATGATAATATCGGTACCTAAAATCGATGCCGTACTTCGTGTCGTGATACATTATAATTTGAAATAACAAAAAAAGATTTTTCGCAGTAATGAATTAATGACACAATATCAATATGTATATAATGTATTATGTGCCTCATATAAAATGTAAAATTAAAAAAAAAAAAAAAAAAACTAAAGTTCATATCAAGATAATATTTTTAGATATTCTTATGATATAACGGTATTTTGAATGCGATATATTTTATATTCGATACTAAATGTCAAACCTAGATAATGTCACAAGTACATAACATAATCAATCATTATCGAGATGCCATCGAAACGATGAATATTAAAAAAAGGAATATCCTATTTCTCAATAATGCTAGAATACTTTAAATTTTTTAAGTGCTAAGAGGAAGAGAGAGAGAGAGAGAGAGAGAAAATTATAGCCAATCTACATATACACACTAAAATTGCAGAACATGACACGCGCGAAAGAGGATATGGAAGTGGAAGGATGCGGAGCAATGGAAAGAGGATGCGGCGATGGTGGGGAAGAGGAGGAAGAGGTGCCACCGCACGAACAGAGGGGTGGAAAGAGAGGCTGAAAGAGAGTCTCGCGCCGGGGGACGGCAGAGGGTGCGGATGTACCGCGGGGGCAGGCAGAACAGGGATGCTGCGAGTGAGTACAGAGAGAGGTGTTTCAGTCGCGCGACGGCTCTCGCCCCGGCCAGTCGATATAGCTAATCGTTACGTCAGTGGTAGTAGCGGGAAATAGCCGTGACACGAGAGGCGCTTCTGCCGCGCAATTTTTTCCCGCGGCCTCAACTCTAGCCTCCGTTCTCGCGCTCTCTCTCTCTCTCTCTCTCTCTCTCTCTCTCTCTCTGTCTTTTTCTTTTTCTCTCGAGTACAAGCAAGGTCAAAAGATCCCGCGCGCCAACCACCTGTGTCGTGTCGTCGCAATCGTCATCGTTATCGCATCCTCCGGATATTTAGACGGCGTGATGCGGGCGCGTACATATCGCGAACGGATGGCGCGCGTCTCGTAAACGCGCGCATTCGCAGCATTCGGGACGCGGCCGTTCCGCGCGGAAAAACGCGGCCGCGTAAGCTCGTCGTGAGAAGTAATTCCGGAGTCAAGGTCGTCCCAGTGCAGCCACTATTTTTCTACCTCTCGCTCTGCCCTTCCCGCGACAGCTCGAGGGCGTTGGAAATTCGACGGGCCGAGTACGCGCGGATCATCGCGGATACGAGGGGAGGATCTTCTCGATGGAGGTAAGAGTATTATTTTCTACGCGCGTTATACCGGAGGAAAAAAATCGTGCGCGCGAAAGTTTGTCTCTCGTGTTTTTTTTTTTTTTTTTCGTTCGATTGCCATGAAGTGTGTTGATTTGCGTGCAACAGGAAGATGGATCTCGAACGAGAGAGAGAGAGAGATTCTCCCGCGGCAATTTGCCTAACAAATGCCGTTTTTTGTTACGATTCGGCGTCTAGTTAGGCAGTCGAAATTATCAAGTTTGAGAAAACCGTAAATGCGCGCGCTGACCGTTAATGCGAGTTTACATTAAGGTAAGAATTGAATATAGCTGTTTTTGATCCCGATGCCGCAATCTAATTAATATTTGTATGTATGTATACATACAATACGTACATATATAATATTATGTTCAATACGCTCGTGTTGATTGCACTTGAGTTTAATACGCGCAAGATTATTATTACTGGATTGTATATATTATATGATATTTTTATCTTGTCGTATTCTTAAAATTTTACATGATATCGGGATACTTTCCCGGTAGTACACGGAAATTTAAATTGCTCGATAATAATAATAGCATTGAAAACCGATATAGTGTATAACGGATTATACGCGATATATACGGAAAGAGAGAAAATGTCAAAAAGTATTTTCTTTCTCTCGTATCATTATCGCGACAGCATCGTCTCGTGATAATAACATTTTTATGAAATGAAAATGCTGTCTCGCTGTCTTGAACAATTTTGTCAGAGCAATTTTATTTAATTGTGACTTGCAATTAACACATATATTGATTGTTTTTTTTATTTATAGCACAAGCGAGATAATTATTAATCGTAATAATTTCACGCTTTTCTATAATTGATTATTTCGTAGCAAGAAAATTGTATCACGGAATATTTGTATCATTCTTTTTTACGTCAATCTTATCAACGTTATAATCAATGTCATTTGTCCAGAACAGAGTATGAGGCAATCGTGTTTACGATTCACGCTCAGCTTTGCGATTAGCGAGTGTAAATATTTGACGGCTTTCTCATTGATGTGCCCAATTTGTGAAATTTTAATTGAGATTTGCGTGAGACCAATTATTTTCGTGGAAAGCGTTTCTTTTTTCACGAAAATACTAGCTAATATTGACTCATAAAATGTCGATTCATCACATTGTGTGTCCTTTAAAGCAAACATGTGTCTCGCGCTGAGCTCGTATTCCAATATAAAATAATTAATATACGAAGGACACTTATTTTAATAATGGCACAATTTCATTTTCTTTTCATTATTTTTAGAAAAAACTCTTTGAGATAGAGAAAAAGAAATTTTTCCACTTTTTAATTAACCTTTATTAAACAATTATATTTACTTACATTTTTAAAGCATTTATTCTATTTTTATATTTTTTTTATTATAATTTATTAATTAGTGATGTGTGCGAAGGATAGATATATTATTATAGCCATTCGCCAATTCATAACTTACGGTATTACAGCGCAAAGTTACCTCACAAATCAATACTTTTGTCAGACATTCGACAGTTAATATCAAGTTTTATGGTTCAGGATTATTTATACGATATATCAAAATATTGTTTTAATAAATATACATTGTCGAGAGATACACGTATTATGGACCACAATTTTCGAATAGATTTCTTGTACAGCTTTCTCTCAAAAACACGTGTGTTGAATTTCTCTCAAAAACATTGAGATTGTTCCGATACATGTACGTAGTAATTGCTTTCGTGCGCGCTCGATCTTTTTTCCCTCCAGCCAAGCAATGGATCAACGTAACGCTCGTATCTCGTGCAAAAGGCAAAAAAGGGAAGAGGCGATGAGGGATCGTAACAACCGTAACGTATCGCGGCGGGAATTCTCTTCTCAGAAAATGTCTGGCGCGTTTATCGCGGCGATTTGTGTGCATAATCAATTTGCACGTACGGATTGGCGAGAGCTCGATAAAGCGCGACGACGTTTGATCGCATAGGTAGGTGATGTAGGTATATGGAGAACTAGTTGAAAAGCTTCACACAAATGCCGGCGTAGGCGAAACCTCACCTAAGTGTACCTACCTACTCTACGCGTACAAAGCGTACGGTTGCGTGCTTACATTGCGTACTCTGTCGCGAGCGCGTGTATGGGAAAATGCCTCAAAGCACCCGCGCCGCGAGTAGATGTGCCCAAACAGACAAATACATTTTCATGGAATGCAAAATATGGAGCGACGGTTACTGCCGCATGAATTAGTGAACACAATCTCCATCTCCATGCGCATATTTCACCGGGCTGATAGCGAAATTCCTTCCTCGCTGTCTGACAAACATAATTCATAGTTCATGGTTAAACGTAACCTTAACCCGTTCAGCCTGCCTACCGTTCGCGAAATCACTCAATCAACGTGATATTGAAACGTTTCATTTGAAAATCCGTATTATGCATTTCAATCTAATTGGACTTGACTTTGAATATTTTATATGAAACAAAATTGGAGATTTTATTAAAATTTTTTATCAATTTTAATTGAAACACTAATTTAAATTTGTGTTAAATAATGATAAACGATTCAATTTAAATTCCAATTTAAATTCTATAAAACGCGATAAATATGTAGTCATACGAGATGCATTTTCCTTAAAAATTCTCATCTTTCTGAAAAAAAATTAACTTTAATCAATTCGAAAGATGAAACTTTTTTTGCTTTCTTTCTCTCTCTCTCTCTCTCTCTCGGCTTATTTTTAACCAAATACTAAGGCCAGTTAATCTGTGAAACAAATTTATTTACAAAGTAAATCTTCTATTATTATCTTTATAAAAATAAATTTCTCGATATTGTAAGAGAAAACTCAGATTTTGTACGATTTCACCCTCGGAGTATTTGGCTGTTATATTTATCTATCAGGAACGGTGGAGAATCGTTTTCTCGTGGATGTCTCATGTATGTGATTTGTAGCGGGTTTTCTGCAAACACGTGTGTATTCGATTACAAATACTGATAATACATGTTTTGACCGATAAAATAAATTTATCGCGGTTATATTACACAGAGCCGGGATTAGTAGATTTATCCGTCTTGCATCCGCATACGCTCAGAATCTCTATTTCTTTTTCCTTTCGGATTTAAGGCTACTAGTTTTATATTGGCAACATATAAATTGTCTAATATTAAAAAATATTTTTGATATTTAAGAATAAAATCAATATTGTTATAAACATATCTCAAACAAAAATATAGAATATTTTTAAGAAATCGTGATAAGATGTAATTCGATTATTGTTTATAAATTAAAAGAGATGCAATATGAATTTTTTTATTTTATAATATAATGTTTAAAAAATAGTACTATGTTATTTATTACTATTATCGCAATTTGTTATATTGTAAAATAAGAATTTATTGCCTTTTAACTTACAAAAGCTAATCAATTGTTTTGAGTTATCTTAAATACAAAGACATGTTTAAAAAACAATATTGTCTCTCTCTCAAAATATAAAAAAAATTTATTCAAATACAAGCATATGTGTGTGTGTGCGTAAAAAAATATTATTTATTATTAAAATATTATTTATATATTGAAATATTATTTAAATATACATTGTCGAGAGATACACGTATTATGGACCACAATTTTCGAATAGATTTCTTGTACAGCTTTCTCTCAAAAACACGTGTGTTGAATTTCTCTCAAAAACATTGAGATTGTTCCGATACATGTACGTAGTAATTGCTTTCGTGCGCGCTCGATCTTTTTTCCCTCCAGCCAAGCAATGGATCAACGTAACGCTCGTATCTCGTGCAAAAGGCAAAAAAGGGAAGAGGCGATGAGGGATCGTAACAACCGTAACGTATCGCGGCGGGAATTCTCTTCTCAGAAAATGTCTGGCGCGTTTATCGCGGCGATTTGTGTGCATAATCAATTTGCACGTACGGATTGGCGAGAGCTCGATAAAGCGCGACGACGTTTGATCGCATAGGTAGGTGATGTAGGTATATGGAGAACTAGTTGAAAAGCTTCACACAAATGCCGGCGTAGGCGAAACCTCACCTAAGTGTACCTACCTACTCTACGCGTACAAAGCGTACGGTTGCGTGCTTACATTGCGTACTCTGTCGCGAGCGCGTGTATGGGAAAATGCCTCAAAGCACCCGCGCCGCGAGTAGATGTGCCCAAACAGACAAATACATTTTCATGGAATGCAAAATATGGAGCGACGGTTACTGCCGCATGAATTAGTGAACACAATCTCCATCTCCATGCGCATATTTCACCGGGCTGATAGCGAAATTCCTTCCTCGCTGTCTGACAAACATAATTCATAGTTCATGGTTAAACGTAACCTTAACCCGTTCAGCCTGCCTACCGTTCGCGAAATCACTCAATCAACGTGATATTGAAACGTTTCATTTGAAAATCCGTATTATGCATTTCAATCTAATTGGACTTGACTTTGAATATTTTATATGAAACAAAATTGGAGATTTTATTAAAATTTTTTATCAATTTTAATTGAAACACTAATTTAAATTTGTGTTAAATAATGATAAACGATTCAATTTAAATTCCAATTTAAATTCTATAAAACGCGATAAATATGTAGTCATACGAGATGCATTTTCCTTAAAAATTCTCATCTTTCTGAAAAAAAATTAACTTTAATCAATTCGAAAGATGAAACTTTTTTTGCTTTCTTTCTCTCTCTCTCTCTCTCTCGGCTTATTTTTAACCAAATACTAAGGCCAGTTAATCTGTGAAACAAATTTATTTACAAAGTAAATCTTCTATTATTATCTTTATAAAAATAAATTTCTCGATATTGTAAGAGAAAACTCAGATTTTGTACGATTTCACCCTCGGAGTATTTGGCTGTTATATTTATCTATCAGGAACGGTGGAGAATCGTTTTCTCGTGGATGTCTCATGTATGTGATTTGTAGCGGGTTTTCTGCAAACACGTGTGTATTCGATTACAAATACTGATAATACATGTTTTGACCGATAAAATAAATTTATCGCGGTTAT